CGTAGACATGAGGTTATTTCCATTCTCTGGTCTGTCTTTTTATTATTTTATTCTATTTTTTTTTTTGTCTCTCGCGGTTTTCAGCCCGAATGTCAAGCGCTTGTTTTATGGGCCAAGTCAACAATATGCGCTCAAAGTTTGTTAATAAAATTTCTATGTCAAGATATTAAAAAGGCAACTTGTGCCCTACCAGCTGGCTCTATGCGAGTGCTCTTCGCATAGTGTCAGCTCAAAGACTTTGACCCAGGCACAAACCCACACACACACACACATACACATACACATATATGCATATAAAGTATATGTAAGAGCACTTTCCTTTATGTTTCAATAGTCTCGAGAATTTCGCCAACGTTGTCGCTGTCGTTGTCGTTAGGCAAACAGTTGCCACGTCTATTATCTAAGAGTTTTTGCGCATCGTTCCCCATTGCCAGGGAAACTTTACTCCTTTCAGCAGCAGCAGCAGCAGCAGCAGCAGCAGCAGTGGCTGAAGGAGCAGCCTTTGCTGCCGCAGGAGCATTTCACGATGTCTGCGTGGGCGCCGTGAAGCAGACTCTCAATTTTACGCGCGTCGCTTGCTGATATAAAAAATTAGATAACAATTTCAATTTCCATGCTCATTTACATGTTTATAGCGTGCTTAAAATATTTTGGGAGCTCCGAGCTCCTCTCTCTCTCTCTCTCTCTCTCTCTCTCTCTCTCTCTGTTGCTTTTCGTTTCTGCATCCTGTGATTTCCTTTCGCTTGCAAAGATTTTTGTGTCTTCTTTAAGCGCGCTGCCTGTTTGCACTGTGGGGTAAATTGAAAAGTTCCCCTGCACTTCGCTGCAAATGAGCAGCCAATAATTGTGCCATTATTCCACCTAATATAAGAATTGTCATAAAACGAAGTTATCTCAAATTTTATGAAATCTCTGCGTTGTACCTTGACCTAAAAATACAGGAAAATACTGAATAATACAAGAAAAATACAAGAGAACAGAAATGCCAGCGAGAAGCTAAGCWAAAGATTTAATTTTYCGCACAATCAACTTGAATTAAAAATGAAAATTAAATGAAACGGAAACCACTAAAAATTAAAGTCATATCCGCAATAAAAGTAATGACGCAGCAGCTACCCAGAAAATAAAAAAAAAAAAGAAAGAAATAAGCAAGCCGACGAAATATGGACAATGTCCATGCCAGAACTAAGTATGCCCAAGCCGTGGGAAGTTCCGCCAAAGCTGACTGCAAACATGTGCTGACAGGGTGAAAATCGTGAAAGCTCTGCGGCCAGGGTGGGTATTGATGCTATAAATAAACCATCCATTCGGGCTTACAGCTCTGGAGGAACTTTTGAGGAGCCAAATATATTTATCAATTTGATTTTTGTCCGCATTACCAAATCGATTGGCATCTCAACAAACAAGCAGCTGATATGGACTTGGCTTAGTTCATAAATAAGATTTTCTAAGAATATAAATAATGTAAAGGAATATAAATAACCTATTCAGGCAATCAAAGTAGAAGTTCCAGCTCACATCGAGTCAGGCTTACAGGATTTATTTAATTGCAGACCCAAGGCTATTATTTTCCAGCTGAAGTTGAGTGTTGTCTAATTCTTGAATAAAATGATTATTCACTTAGCAGCTGGAGTGCTTTATTTTTGTATTTCAGTACTTTTGTCTGTCATAATAGATTACACCCACTGCCGAAAGTTTTCAGCTAGGGCAGATGCACACTATTTTCAGAACTATACACACTGCACATCTGCCATTCGCAATTAATTTAGCTCTAAGCCAATTTTTCTCAGTTTCAGTCGGTYGGGCCGGGACAGAAGTACTTTTAAGTTAATGTAATTTATATGGCCAGTGTCGAGAGAAGATAGAAGAAGGAGAAGCTGGASCCAGTGGAATCAATTTAAGGGCTGCTAACGAGCAGTTGTTCAACTTTTTACGCAACAGACAATGACAGGCCTCACACACTAGAAGCAGCAGGAGCAG